TTCCAAAGATTTTTCAAATCGGAACATTATTTCGTACTTATCACTTCAGACCCAATACGTGTTAACCCCGACTTTTATAAATCCTTTTCTCTAACAACGGATGCAAGTAATATAGCAAGTAATATTATCACAAAATCACAAACCAATATGTTATGCAAGTAGAACTTTAAACAAACATGAAATTAATTATGCCACGATAGAAAAGGAACTTTCAAACAATCGTTTGGGCAACAAAATATTTAAGATCTTATTTAATCGAAAGGCCTTTTGAAATACTTAGCAAAACCAAATATCTTCATGGAAAAGAAAATTAAGTAGCAGACGCCGTATCTTGGGTCTACAATTGAAGAAAACATGTTCGGAGATATAGATAATAATTCCAACAATGCAACTATACACAGCGCTAAGGAAGATAATTCAAACTATATCGCAATTATCGAAAGACCGTTTAATTATTTCTCAAGACAAATTGAATTACAAGACGAAAATTCAACAGAAGTCAAACATTATTTTCATAAATTAAAAATAACAAAAGGAAACGCTATAGTGAGTGCCGCGACTATAAGAAAGTGTGGAAATTCACAAGGCGCCACCTATTGTCAGAGGAAGCATGTTGAGTAATTGATAGTGATGTCATTGCCGATGTGAGGCCTTATGTCTTAATTTCTTCATAAATAGCGAACTAATGTTCCGATTCAAAAAATCTTTGGTAAATCGATAGATATTAACAGAAATTAGTTATACAATGTCCAACGAAGGCATTCATAATAATATTATAAACGCCACAGTTTTTCGCGGTTTGTGGGTGTCGGAGTAGGCGTGGTCGAATGCAACTTCGTGGCAAGTTGCTGTGGCATCTCTTAAATACGTATTCTTTAGCACAACTTTGTAGCTCTAATAGTTTTCGAGATTTTTGCATTTTTGATTTTTCGCGGTTTGTGGGCGTGTCTTGATCGGAAAAACCATTTGCATTGGGAGCATCATTAAAACCTACCAGCTTAATCCGAAATTTCCATCTCTTCTAGTTACCAAGATATCAGCTTTTCTAGAAAATGCAAAACCGTCTATTGAGTTTGGTGGGCGTATGGGTGGGTGTGGCCGGATAATAGTAACGCTATAAGATGCGCTGGAATCTAAAGATTATACATACTTCCTTCTACTTCAACTAATCTAACACCCTTTCACTCTACGAGTAAAGGGTATAAAACTAAGTACCTCTCTAAGAACTCGAACTGGACCGCTAGCCTGTTGGTGGAGAAGGATTATAGGCTCAAAGTGATGCACCAAATAGCGGGGGCTTTTTTTTATATAATCCAAACGTCTGTGTATACTTCCTCTTTTTTTCTAAAATTCTTACATTTTTTTCTGAAACTGAGTTTTCAAGTTTAAATAAAAATACACTTAAGTTCAGAAAATTTATTATCTTTAAAAATCAGAAATGGGTTTAATTTTAAAGTTCACTCCACTTCTGCCCAAACATTTTATATTATTTATAAACATAAGTTAAATATTTGGGTTTAATAATTGCTATATAAATAGTTTGACTTTTTCGGTATATTTTTGGCCAACATTTTTACAACAGTAGTGTTTAGTTATTATTCGTATAAGGCTTATATACAAGTTGTCAATAGCAACGAATCAATAACCATATCAAAAGGAAAGGCAACAGTTCTAATTTACTCTCCCATTAAGATGGAGGAACTTCAAAGATTTGGGCTGTTTAAAGATGATATTTACGGACTACGAGTTGAAAACCCCAGCTTTACTGATAACAGAATAAAGTATAAGAATAAGTGCGAAAAGTATTCTAAATATGTAAACAGTTTTAAGAAGTTTGCCTCGGATTTTTGTAACTTATCTTATTTGCTTGGAAAAGATGTCGATACAGAAAAACTACGAGCTATTGGGACTTACAATCGATTTAAAACCATAAACAATCAGCACCAGAGTAAGGAAGTTTATCAGTCAGAGATATTTGAGCGAGTTGCGAGACTAAAACTTTTAAAGAGCGAGCTGCAGTCTTTACAGCGAATCGTTACTGAACAACAGGAAATAACAAACAATTTTATCGTAAGTCCATATAAAACCATTTAAAGATCACTTATGTAGTTTTATTTATTTATTATCAGCTACAACGGAATTACAATTGACCTCTATCCTTTCTGCATCCTTTAATAGCTTTTAAATAGTTTGCTTTTAATGACAAAGACCGATGATTGATGGCTTCCTTTTTTATGAAGTGCTTTGTCATCTAGCTTTTCTATTTCATTAAAACCACTTTGAAAGGAAATTTGCTTTTCAATAAAGTTTATATTCGTAACGTGTGATTAATTATAGAAACAATGTCGACCTTCTTTCCTTATTTTAAAATTTTTTGATTTTCAATTTCTTCAGTTTCTATTGCAGTGAGCCATCGTCGTCACTGGAAGTACCACTATTGTTTTTAACTTATTGAGCACCAGCTTTGGGCCAAGTAATCACCCGTACAATATAATTTGACATAGAATAACGAGGTGAATAGTGTCTACTTCGTAGATTAAATAAAAATTAGTATAATATTTAATTAAAATAAATGTTGTTCCTGGGAGGTTCAGTTAATATTTTCCATAGTTTTGAATTATTGTGAACGAAATCGATAAAAGGAATTTCGCATCCTTGTAAAATAATGCCCTTTGATAGAAAAAAGAAGGTGAAGCAAAAACTTAGCTGATGACAATTTCAAGTAAATTAAGCGCCGAAGTCGGTGAACAATATGGACACCCGAGAGAGATCGTTTTCTCTTTGGCTTTGTCCCCATCTCACACAACACAATATTTTTTGTGTTTGTTCGTTTGTATTTTAAATTTTATCAGTCAAAACATAAATTAACAAAATTCATTCATGTAAATATAGTAATAGTTAGGCTAGTGATTATTTTGGTTTGATTATGGTTACATAATATGAGCATATATGTATATACCAAGATATCCAGTTTGTCTTGGTTCCTTGACAAAATAAAATGAAACAGGAAGGACGCTATAGTCGAGAGTCGCGACTATAGATACCGGATACTTTGTTATACAGTTTTAAAATATTTGTTTTGCTAGCGGAAGTTAACGAAGCGTGAAAGATTTATTTTTAAGAGTTTTAATGAAAACTTGCAGTTTTTAAGTATTATAATAAAGGTTTTAAAAATTTTAAAACCAATTCAGTTAAATGTAAGACTGTTGTATTATAATCAGCCTATGGCCTATATTCTAGATACTCTCGGCTTAAGGCTTCAGAATTTTTGATTGGTGCATGACCGAATGCAAATGCTGACTTTAATATGGTTACAAGTAAGTATATAAAGGGAAAATGTTTATTTCATAAAACTTGTGCATGACCGATTCTGGTTACTTATAAGTCAGAAAATAAAATATTTATTGCAATTGACGGTGCTCCGACCATTATTTCCCACACACCTGTATTTACATTCGCGGAACCATCGGGCATCGTTCTTATCAAGTGAACATAGAAAGGGAAAGTCTCTGTTGCATGGAGATTGTACACAAACTATCCCGCTGTTCGTAGAAACCAGCCTTTATGCTTCGATGATTTTCCTATGGGGAAAAATACACAGGAAGTTTTAAGAAAACTAATTCCGCTTGACCAAAGCGAAGACTGTTATAAGCATATGCAGTGTGCTCAAACGTTTGATTTGGATGAGCCAGAGCCTAGTCCTATTTCCGAATGATGATCACATTTTTAATGAGATAAATAAAAATAAACCACGGAGCATATATCACCAACTTATGAATGACGACCAGGATACTGTTATACTGGATGTTCTCTTAAGATTAGACTGCTAATATGTGTATTATTTTTCTAAAAATATTATGAAATAAAACACTTTATAAAATTCAATATCTAAAGTTCTTGTTCTTTATTAGATATTTTTCTTTAGTTTTATTTATACTTTTTAATTCAGCATCATGCATCAACTTCATATGTTATCATCAGAAATAACAGTAGTAATAAAAGGACTTTGATTATTTATAGCTAAGGTTGTGTACTTTTAAGGTATGCACTTTTAGACTGTTGCGCGTAGTGAAAGATTTTGATTCTGAGCATAACTCACAATGAAACTTGCCAATTTTAATGTGAAACTGAACTGAGTTTTTATAAGAAATACATATATTTTAAAGGGTTTTAAATCAAGTTTTGTATATTATATACTTTAACTATGTTGTATACCTGTATATATTATATAATATTATATATATTTATATGCTTGAATATTCGTAAGTTTAAAAAATATAATTTTATTTTTATTAAACCGAATTATTACAAGATTCTTTGATGAAGAACACCGACTCGAACAATCTCGTGTCTTGACCTGAACTTCACTGGGTGTTGAGTTTTACAGTAGTGCACTTAGTTTATAAACTTCCCTTAATTGCATGAACGCGTACCGATGATAACTATCCTCGAGCGTTAACTGTAAGAAACTGATTTAATCTTAAGTCTTAAATTATTATGAAGCCTTGGATTTGGGCTTTTACAATTATTATGTTTTCTGAGAGAACTTTCTTATATCTATATACTCTTGAATACAAGATTTCTCTTTTCAATTGTCCGTAACAGGACTCCTACTTTAACCTTGATCGTCTATGGAAAATTTCGGTGTGAATGTTTAGTCTAAGAGTCTGAGTAATAAGACTCTCTTGTTTTTCAGTCGCAGTGTGGGAAATGAATTTAGGCCTGCGATCTGTCTGTGTTTATAAAAGTCTGGGATGTTTAGATAAAGGTCTGGGAATGTTTATCTTTTCATTTTCCATGGTCGATTAAGTTTACATATAAGGTATTTATATCTTGCTTATGATTAACGTGGAGGTGTGTGGACATGTGCATGGCAATGGATATGTCACTATATACATATATATATAAATAATTTGTACATGAAAGAGTGATATGGGTATATTCTTTCATGTATAAAAGACCACGTTATTTATGTAACAAATTAGTATTCAACGACTAGTGACTAGAACACCATGACTTCAATCTCTCACCAATCAAAAATGGTATATAAACACTTCTTTATGTATATAATCCTTCCTAATGTACTTATTCCTCATAGGATTTCTTAGAGACCTTAAATGAATCGAAGCCTGTTATTGGTTATACGAAAATTTAAAATCTATGTATTGGGTTTGAGTATAAGATCACTGGATGTGAATTAAGGAAAACACCTTACGAAACTAAAATATGCCTTTATTAAACCAATAAGGAAATTAAGATATTTGGATATTTCTACAAAAAAAATTATGTAAACAAGTTTTCAACTAAGACACCATTTAAGAAATTGACTGAGAACGGAATTTCTCATAAGGAATATAAAGGAAAAGATCTGAATAGATATATCTGTACTCAAAATTGAATTTACGAGGTGTGTTCAAAAAGTAAGGTGACTCTTCAAATTTCGCGAATTTCAAATTTTTCGATTATCGATTTTTTTGTTTTGTTATATTGGTACACTCTTCCCTAACATCTGTACCAAGTTTACAATGGAACATCCTCTTTTGTTTGGTTGTGAGAGGCGTAAAGTTACAAGTTGTTTTGCGAGCTCGGCGATTTTTTGCTATCGAAAAATATGGATCAAAGGATTTGGATTTTTTGGCCAAAAACAACACCACAATAATGCCTCAGCCACCATATTCACCGGATTTGGCCCCATGTGACTTTTTCTTGTTCCCAAAACTGAAGATAATCGAAAAATTTGAAAAATTTGAAATTTGAAAAGTCACCTTACTTTTGAACACACTCGTATAACTTCTAAAAGGTTTCGATAATCGAAAAATTTGAAATTCGCGAAATTTGAAGAGTCACCTTACTTTTTGAACACACCTCGTATCAGTAAATAAATGAAGTAAATAAGAAATTTCCCTTATAAAAGATTGAGTTTCTTTATCAAAAATCAGTCTTAGTTCAACCTTAACAAGTTACAAGTCTTACAAAAATGCATGCAAAACAAATTGAAGTCTTCTTGATGCAGTTTGAAGTTTTGTTATTGAGCCTAGGAGTTAAGATTAAAAAAATGAATTCTTTTTCTGCGGATATTGACCATATGAATTGAAACATTCTGCTGACTTAGGGCTATCAAAATAGAAGGCAATCCAATGAGTTCCAGGCTTGTCTGAAGGATCGGTATTCGCAATAATAAAAGCAGGATACTTTTTTATAGTTTTAGGTAACTGGTCCGAAGGGAAAACTCCTTCAAAAATCGTTTGTGTTTGTTTATGCTTTGATAGCATATATTTAATTTGTAATGTATTCATGTTAAAGAAGTAATCGAATGTTTCTATGCTTATCAATATCAATCATGGAATCGAATTCGCAGTACACCAGACAAGTAACTGCTTCAGAAAGTGGTTCTGAGAAGCTTCCTTCGATTCGAAGGGTTATTAAATTAGCACAGACAGTCGAACTTGAATGATCGGCAGTTAGGTCAAAAGCTAATATAAAACTGTTTGTATCAAACATTTCCTTTGTAATTTGTAGACCACGATCATAATGTTTTATCCCACTAGACCTGAATAGCATATTATATCCTCATGAGCTCTGAACATTTTCACCATTTGAGTAATCAAACTGCAAAGCCTGAGAAGGAACTTGAACTCCATTGACCAATAAGTTAAAGCGTTAAATTTTAAAATGTTCAAAATGAAATTGATCTAACCCCCGGTTTCCGGAACGGTTCTTAACCATACAAAAGGCTAGAAAATTAGGTAGCTGTCCAATGCCAATCGTTTCCCTCAATGCCGGTGCTATCACTTTTTGTAAGTAAATAAACACTTGATAAGTCACGATATGTTTCACCATTTCCTCAGCAAACAAATTCGATTGATGATGCTCCATCTAAAGAAGCAATTGGGTTATATGAAACTTCTTCAGTTTTTATAATGGAACTTTGAGTTGGGTGTGGAGCAAACAAATGTCGCTAATATTTAATTTTCTTATAGTTCTTTTTCTTTTATGAGGCGGTTTGGTATGTTTACTCTGCTGCTTGGATGTTAAATGATGTCGTTTTTTTCTTGTGCATCGCTTTTTATTTCTTTTTCCTTCTCCGTTTTGAAATCGGGTTATGTTATCGATCGCCTTATCGGATAAAGTTTTCAAAGCAATTTTACTCTGTTCTTGTAGGATATTTCTTAAGGGTTTCCCGATTTCATTGATTACAGCCTTTCCAGTAGCACCAGCCTGACTTTTTATAGCAGTTATACCCGAAAGAAAAAGTGGTTTGATATAATTAAAAAGACCACTAAAAAAGTTCCCGATTCCTCGTCCTTGTTGAACTATTGGTGGTGATACATAAAGACTTTCAATATTGCTTAAACCGCCACCACATTGGTTTAAATAATATTCGTGATAAGATTACACCATGATGACTGTTTTTATTATAATATTTAAGCCCGTATTATTTATAGACTTTACAAAGTCCTTCTTCTTCTGAAATGTTGAGTAACAAAAATCGAAACTGTTGACGTTTCAAATGGAACCTTATATCCGTTTGAATCAGTGATAAGTATTGAGATTTCATTTGGAGACCAGATATCTAAAGGATAATATTCAATATTTTTAAATTGAATATTTTTTTCTTTTCCATTATAATACATTACTCGAAGACATCGAGGTTTTCTACATCCTACTGATCTTGGTTTAACTATGTCGGTATAAATAAAAATCAACCCATTTCCCGGGTTTTTTGAATCAACGCTTACATTTTTATATCTAAACGTTCCAGCATTTACTAAACTAACAAATTCAGTTTCTTCATGTATATGTATTTCTTTATTATATGTTTGATTAATATAATTATTAAGATACATGTCTATAATACCAACTTCCCAATCATTGTTCATGTTTTGTGAGATATTTACAATGTTTGTGAATGCACACTTTACGTTATCAGGAAATACATTCATTGAAAAATTACTGAGCCATGTGATAAACATTTCATCTAAATTCCCCATTTTTATTATTTAAATTAAGCACTATTGATAAGAAATCCAATTCATTTTGTTTTTTCCTATTCGATTTTTAGTACGAACCGATCTTATTACCTTTTTACGGCCAGACACATATTTAAGATTTTAAAATGGATTTTAATCTATTTTATATTTCTTAAGGTTTACCCATAATTTACGTTGTTGATCAGTAAGCTTCACTTTTGTCACTGCTCTCCTTTTAATATCTTCTTTATCGTCTAAAAGCGAAGTTTCTCTTAATTTGCGCTTTTCGTTTAACAACTTTGGCCGTTCCTCTGTATTAAGGTCTCCTTCATCGCTATCATTTGTTAAATTTGTCAAGACTACATTATTTGGTAGTGTTTCTTCATATTTTATTACTGATTCTTAAGTATTAGGTTTTGTATTATCCCCATCTAATGTTTGAGTTTCATTAGTTCTTTTAGACATAGGGGTTGGTTTTGAAACTATATTTCGGAAGTTAAATGATTTATGACGTTTTTTGTTTTGGTAGTAGCTTAATTCTTGACGTATTTTAATCCATTTGTCATAATCACTTATTTTATTGTTATTTAAAATTGGTAAAAATTTTATATCAATTAGTTCATTTCCGCGGTCATTGTTTATCAGTTTCTGAAATGCGTTGGGATGCATTAAAATTACTTTGCTTAGGTTATGTTTATTTTTATTCATGTTTTAAAAATTTTCCAAAAATTCCGGAAAGCAATGAACTATTAGAATATGTAGGAAACCACCCTTCTGAATAAGAACTTTTCTCTTAGAGCTTAGGGTACTTTTTGGACATGAGAGATATCGCAATGCATTTTTATACTTTTTAAGAGCACTTAGATGTGATTTTGTAACTTTATGATTTTTACAATTGGTGAAAACATTGGGTAGCTGGGTTAAGCTTCTTCCGATATCTAAATCGATTATGGTCGCTGACAAATACTTTGATACATTTTTTTTTAATTTCACTACGAACAATAATTGAACTATACTTATTGAGTGGTGAGAGAATTTCTTCTAGGGCTGTATATGGTATATCTCCAGCGGACCATTCCAATCCGTTTATATTTTCTTGTTTTAAGTGTTGCTGCTTAAGAGTTTCCTTTTTCCTGCTGGCATGAATGCAAGCTCCTTAACAAAAATTTGTTTGTTGTTTCCAAATAAATATTGAAAATCAACAATAACGCTTGAATTACGATCTACAGTGTTCATGATGGTTTGAAATTTTGAACTGGACTGAGGGTATGCACGTAAAGACCTTTTCCTTTTTATACCGGACAGATTAGAATAAAGTTTTAGTTAAAGTAAAGTGCTCTTACCTAATAGACATGTGTGTAACGAAAAGAAATAAAACTTCACGAAAGAAACAGGACCATGAGGTCATTTTCGGATTCAAATACTATGTTGTACATAATTTAAAGTTGAAATGTGGTTTATCCACTTCTAAAAAATGTTTCCCCTTGATTTGGATGCAGCATAGTAAAAGTAATTTCGTTGGATTTGGTAAAGACGAATGGATGCAACTCCTCACATACAAGGAATATATTCAGTTGAAACCGGACCAGTATGACCGAAATCGGAAATCGGATAACCAGTAGGTTTTTGTAATTAATCAGTATGGCAACAAAATTAAGTTTGACTCTGAGTCCTGGCGGTTTTTACTAAGACTAGGAATATTTTTTAACAACCTTCCTATGTTGGAATTCAATATTACGAAAACAAGTGGTATATCTTTACTATAATAATATTATTCCTAAGTGTGTTTTATTACAAAATTATGATATTCAGCTAGATGACTTAGAGGGCACTTTCGATAAAGTAGATTTAACACTATTATGTTTTCAAATTTCTAAAAAGATGCGTGACGAATTAAAAAGAGATGTACTTTAGTTGAAATGATACCCTTTAGGAAAGAAAATAGAGGGTATAAATATTTATTGACTGTTATTAACACATTCTTAAAGTATGCATACGCTGAAGCTGTAAAGACAAAGTCCGCACTGGATGTTACAGAAGCAATGAGAACTGTACTTTAAGGCGAGTAAAAGTAAACCTAAGAATATTCAGTTAGATCAGGGAAAAGAATTTTAATTCAACATTTAAAACATTAATGGATACATTTAATATAAATCATTATCATACTTTCACACATCTTAAGGCTTCCATATGCGAGCGGTTTAATCGAAAATTAAAACATCGCATGTGGAAAATATTTAGTATGCAGGGAAATTACAGGATAACATAAAATATCTTGTAAACCAG